TTTTGTTTTTTTTTTTTTTTTGGGGGGGGGGGGATAAAAAAAATCGTTATAATGTAAATTTACAAGAAAAAAATATAAATACTTATTGTTTCAATAATGATATCAATCCGTTTTAGTTACAATTATTATTAATAAATTTTGCTTCATTGCTTTGCAAACCCCACTTCTAATCAACAGACTTACAATAAGAAATATCATTTTTTGATGAATAACCTTTTGCCCTTGTAAAAGGAATTCTATGTTGATTAGCCTTGTAAGCTTTGTTTCCAAGTGACTTCTATTACACATGTATTGTAGATATTTTTACCAGAGAATTCGGAGGTAATATTTATTAACCTAACTTATTATAAATTATTATTTTTTTTTACAAATTGTTTGTTTTATGTGATTAAAAAATTTTTTAATGTCTTTTTCAATAAATTTCAGTCAATTAATGTACCATGTTTTTCATGGGCATTAATTCAATCTATTATTACATTAATTACATAGAAAAAACCCTTAAAAAAAAAAAAAAAACCTCTTATATAATTTTTTAATTTCTTTTTCAATAAATTTCAGGCAATTAATTTATAATGTTTTTCATGAGCATTAAATCAATCTATTATTAAATTAATTAAAAAGAAAAAACCCTTAAAAAAAAAAAAAAAAACTCTTATATATTTTATGATCTTGGGAAATCTTGGGAAATTCGTTCACCAAATCTTGGGAAATTTAAAAAAAGTGAGTGGCAGCCCTGCACGCAAGTTCGTGTAGGATCGCGAGGTCATGGCGCACTTTCTCTGCTTCAGTCACAGAACTTACGGATTTAACTTTAAGGATTGTCAATAACGTTTAATTTAAATTATTTTAAAGCCATGTTGTGAGGATTAATAAATTACACAGTTATGTAAGTTATTTTGGTTTTTAAAATCCCTAGATTTGATAGTATTTTGTGTCTTAGGTCTAATAAGTCTAATTATATAGAAAGAAATAAATTGTTTACTTAACTGACTTTAACTACTTTATTTAAGTTAGTGTTAGTTAGTACTCTTACTACTTACTTATGATCTTATCTTAGACTTAGACTTGATCTTGCTTATTCTTACTAATCTTAGTCTTACTGACTCGTACTTTAGACACTTCAGTACTTTAATCTAGTTAGGGCAGGGCTTTGCTTAGCTGTTAAGATTTGGGCTAAGGCTAACGGTACTAACGGCTAATGCCTAAGTCTAAGTTACTAAAATTAAAATGACTTTAACTTTAGGCAGGCTACTACTACTACTAGTTTGGTTAATTGGTATAGAACAGTCATAGTAGGTATGTCAATTGTTAAGGTAAATATGATAATGATACAATCAGTAAAAGTAAAGGCCTATTTGTTAATTATTAATGTCAAGAGTTTAGTTTTGGCAGGGTGAAACTTCATCCCCTGCTGGTCTGGCATGCCACGAAGAAACAAACCCCATGTGTCAACATCGAGTTGCCTCGGGGGGTGCGGGACCCTGACTTAGAGTTAGAGGTGTTCAGTCACAATCACCCCAGTTGCACCCCCTACAAACGTAAATGCATTTTAAAAAAGATGACCTTTTTTTATTGATTACAATTACAATACAAAAATAAACTTTTAGAGAAGTAATTGGAAAATTAATTTGTGACACTTAAACTTGTACATAAAATGAAATTAAAGTTTGATAGAGTAAAAATTATGATGAAGAAATTTAAAAACTATATAATATATATCATCATGTAGGCTAGCTTATTATAACAATTATCATTAGCATGTCTACTTAAAATCATTAATGGGTCCTCATTTCTTATATATATGTAATATAAAATAATATTAATCACGTTTTTCGTACACTTTCTGAGCCTGAGATGCCATCTGATGTAGGCTCGAAAATAAGTTTTAATATTACTTGTTATTAATGTTAGTTTGATAGCCAACAACTAGCTGTACACTACTTACACTCCTTTACAGTCTACAGTCCTAAAATAAGACAATTAGGGTTTGACTGATTAAACAGCAGATAATCTTTTTTTGACAGATTAATATAAGTATTATAAGTATAAGCTGATACCAGTAATCACTTTTAATCAGCCACCAGAAAATATTATTTGTAAATCTTAACAAGAAATTATTTATTGCATCTTTTGCTAGATTATATAAAAGTTGTTCCAAAAAACAGTTAGTTTTGTGCAAGACTCTTAAATATTTAGTCTAAAAGCAGCCTCTTAAAAATATCCACCCACCCCCTATCTTAAAAAAATGTTTTTCCTTGTCTACTAATTAATACTATTTGTGTAATATTCTACTTCTGTTATTCTAATTTCTAAAACAACCTTAAAACAAATATTTTAGTTAAATTATTTATTCACTCATTGTTTAATTAAAAAAAGAGTAGCATTTATTAATTTGTCAAAGAACCCCTGTGGCTCCAGAGCTGCATGTTATGACCACCACTGCTTCAGCTATTCGAACTATTAGTGACTTCTTCAGAAAATGGAAAAATGAAATTATTTTTTTTGAACAGCTACATTTCGATGAACTATCTTTTACCTAATATTCATAATTTTTTACCTAGATTAGATATTTACAAATTTATATAATAGTCAGTTTGCCATGATAATGCTTGTCTGTTTTCTGCCAGGCAAACCAAACATTAGTTCAATAAATGGCCGGATAAACTATGAAAGAGTATAATGAATATTCTAAAGATTATTATTAAAATTGGCATTTTCAAAACTAACAATTATAATGAATTGACAACCAATTAATTTCCTTACCTGTACAACCCTATATAGTATTGTAGTAGTAATTGGTAGAAGGCCATCCAGTAGGGGTATACAAGATACTCTTTATTATTTGATTTGATCATTAAGTTAACCAATTTCTGATGGTCTAAATATTGCCTCTTTAAAAAAAAAAAAATTCAGGGCTTTATCCCTTTATGGTTTTGCAAGTTGGTCCAGGCTCCAGGGCACTAAAGATGATGACTGGGCTGACAGAGTGAGCCACCTATGGACAGTTGGATTACTAACCTTCTTTGCAATACTAGTTAGCACAGCACAATTTGTTGGTGATCCAATACAATGTTGGTGCCCAGCACAGTTCACTGGTAAGTCTTTGACTGGACATCTTATTGTAAGCCAGCTTTCATGTGATGGTTCTTCAATCATTAGTATACATGCAGGTGAATTTAGTTCAGTAAAAATACAAGATCCATTTTGAATATATATAAAACAGTAATTGAAACACAAAGTTATTTAATTAAATTGATGTGAAATTAGCTGGGCTGTATTGTTGGTATTTTTATTGTCTTACATGATGAAGTTTGCCTTAATCCTTCTATTAATGCATCCTTATTACAGGTTCATACGTAAGCTATACAAAAAATATTTGCTGGATCAGCAACACCTACTACATCCCAATGGATGACAGCATTCCCATAAATATTCAGGAGAGACATGAAAAAGAAATCAGCTATTATCAATGGGTCCCCATAATATTTCTATTTCAAGCTCTGATGTTCAAGGTATAAAGATAAACACTATTTCTAACATTTGATTACGTTTTTAAGAGATTAAGTAGTGAGAAATTTGCTCTGTTTTTTTAAAAATACATCAGCGTAAAACGATGTCAGTCTAACACTTATTTTTGGCTCTCCCAATTATGACCTTATTAATGACTTTCATTATGCCCTAAGTACCGTTCTGTGGTGCCCCTTCATGCAGATGTGATTTTTATGTAGACATTAAAAAATCTTGTTCTAGAAGCTATGACAACGTTTGAGAAATGTGTGCTATCTATAAAATTTTAACAAGAAAAGGATATACTTGAATGTAACCACAAATAGATATACTTAGGTGTGACCACAAATGAGGGTTAGACTCTGATAAAGTTTAAGTAGATTAACAGACACATAACATGTGAAACTTTATTTATGATCTAAACCAAGGGTCTCCAAACTTTTCAGCCCGAGGGCCGCATTAACTATCAAACAGCAGTTCTGTGGGCCCACTACACACTTGAATTCCAAATAAAAAAGAATCAAAACATGGATGTTGTTTTTAATTAAATATGTATTATCATTTCATTCAGTTATTATTTAATAACACATTGATACACGACACCTGTATAAGTGGGAATGGTGAAATTGTTTCCTGGATGCAAAAATAGCCGTGATTAGCAGTCATTTCTGGATTTAGATTTGATGTCCCTAACATCAACAGTGACCTGAGATTATCATAGGAAATTTTTTCTCAAATTGTTCTTCACGTATTTCGTTCTTGAAAATGTTTGTTCCCACAGGTATGTTGTTCGAAAGTTGAAAGGTACATTGATGCAAATGTTTTGAAATTAGGAAAGTCTTCCTTGGGCAAAAACTAGTGAAAAACCCACCGGTCCTTCTTTAAACTTGTCCATAAGGAGGTCATTTGCTTGCAACTCAGTGACCTCAAGGTGCAGTTCATCTGGGCGACTAGTCACATTTGCTTCAAATGGGTTTTGAAAAGTATCACTTCTTCTGCCTTTAAATCCAAGTCAGAAAACCACTGCTGACACTGCAGCTGGGGGGGGGGGGGACCAGCTGTCCAGCGATCATCCATTGCAAATAAAAATTGGCGAAACTTGCTTGCATTTTTCGCTATTTGAGTCACAATGTTTTCACCCTTGTCTGCAACACAGCGGGAAAAGCTCCGCCTTTAGATGACGTTATATCATCTCATTGACTGTGGTTGGAAGTAGAAAAACTAAGCAGCGAATAAGGTTTTGCCAAGAAATGATCGGTTAGAAAACATAGCACGCTACTGCATGTCTTTATTTTAATTCGGTAAAAATATAACCTCCACAAAAGCGGCGTCTGATCTTGGCAGGGTACACGTAAATTTCAGTAATTTTTGTCGTAGACAAAAAGGTCTCCGCGGGCCGCATGAGAGGGAGACCCCTGATCTAAACAGTCATTTAGGCAGTATGTCTTCCGTGATTAACTAAAGAATGGTGATAATGATAATACAATACTAAGAGTGGCGTAGCTAGCGTAAGTACTGCCCGGGATGGGCCAAGCTGCCACCCTTCCATGAAAAAAACTCTGCACTAGGCCAACATTCTGTCCCCCAATATATGGAAATAAAGTGATGCCTAGCTATACTAATAGACCAAGTTTCATTTTATTTTTAAATAAAAAGAGTGTTTCTGAAGGGAATTAAAGATGGCACCAGGGAAACCTGGGGATGAAAGTTAGAACATTTCATTCAAGTACCTTTAGTATTTAAAAAAATATATAAGCATTTATTTAAGTACCGAGTAAATAAATGAAATCAATCAATAGAGGAAAACTATTTTTGTAAAAATATTAAAAACAAGTACAAACCTGCTTTTATCTTAATACATGTTTTAAAGAGTCTGCTACATTTTCATTGGAGAAAAATCAGATCTGATATAGTGACAGCAGTAAAAGAAAAGGGGGACAGAAAATATATTTATTGAATATTTTGTGTTATATAATCTTTGCTTATGCAAAAGTATATTTGCTCAAACAGTTCTATTGCATACATTATTTTGTGTTAATACCTTTTTTATTTTCTTCATCCTTTAGCTACCAAATCTTATTTGGAAAATGTTAAATGATAGCGGGGGTCTCAACATAGACAAGATAATTTCTTTAGCTGAAAGTACACAGCTTGGGAAACCGGAAGACAGGGAAAAGTTCATCTACCAAGTAGCCAAATATATTGACCGGTGGTTGAAAGCCCATCGCCAGTATCATTACAACCTGTTGGTGAGACTCAGACAGCGTTTTGCCAATGTCTTCTGTTTCTGGTTCGCCAAGCGAGATGGGAAGTATTTGACTGGCTTCTATTTGTTTATCAAGCTGCTTTATGTTGCCAATGTAATATTTCAGTTTTTCATCCTAAATTTCTTTTTGTCCATGGATTATAGTGTGTATGGATTGGAAGTTATTCAAAGTCTTATTAAAACTGGAGAGTTTAAAGACTCTCCCAGATTCCCACGTGTCACCTTGTGTGACTTTGAAATTCGCCAGCTTCAAAATCTTCAGCGTTATACTGTGCAGTGTGTCCTCCCCATCAATTTGTTCAACGAAAAAATTTTCATAGTCTTGTGGTTTTGGTATTTGCTGGTTGCGGTTATTACAACGTTCAATTACCTGTCCTGGCTCTATCATGTTCTTTTTGGGGGGAACAGATACAAATATGTGAAAAGGTTTTTAAAGCTTGGGGACAACCTGAGCAGCAAGTCAGATAGTAAGCTAGCCAAAAAGTTTGCCAATGAGTACTTGAGAGATGATGGAGTATTTGTGTTAAAAATTGTTGCCAAAAATTCCTCAGATCTGGTGCTCAATGATCTTGTCAATTACTTGTGGATGTTCTTTAAAGATAATCCACACGTGGCAACAGCTTATGAGAAAAAGCTAAGAGATGCAAAGATGAATGGTAAGCATGCAATATCAACCCTGGAGATGGATCCAGAGGAGTTACGAGAGATTAACCATAAGTTATAATAAATCTATAATGACTAAATCAATCCATCAAAGTGCATATATATTTTTTTTAAACTTGTTTAAAAAGGCATTAAGGAGACTTTCAAGTTTCAATTTTTCCATCACACAATACCAAAATAACCTGTACTGTACTGGGATAGATGAGTGTCATTGTATAAATAAGTGTTATCTTGTTATTAGGTTTGGGCAGTTCCTTGCGGTTTTGTTATCTGCTTGCAGTGGCCCCTGGTTGACAAAATCTTAATTATATTAGACTGACATGGAATGGAAGTGTTAGCATATCCCAAATTTAAAAAAAAAGAAACGTTGATCTGCATTTATGTTTAAAGTAACGCCTATAAATAATAGATTGTTTTTAAATGATATGTATGCTTTAGAATCAAAAGTAGGAAACTTTAGAATCAAAACTCATGAAACTTTAGAATCATAACTTATGCAACTTTAGAATCATAACTCATGCAATTTTAGAATCATAACTCATGCAACTTATATATCATTTAAAATGCGGCATTAACTAATACCCAAAGCTTTGAAAGAAAGCACAAAGTGTGTCTTATTACATGCATGTTATTTGTTGACTAGAAATGTTCCATCTATTTTTGGCACACCTTGTTATATATATATATATATCTCCTTTTGGGGGCATGTTGACCCAACTCAAATACTACCAAAAATGTGCATTGGGAAGCTATATATATTTTAAACTGCCTACACTTACACTACTTAGTAGTTAAGTGCCTTGAGAGTGAAAAGGCTCATATTATGATTGGCCTTATATTATTCCAGTATTATATATATACATATAATGGGACCAATAACCACAAATAAATATTTTTTAAAACTTTGAGTTCTATTTTACATTCTGGATCTTCCATTACATTGCCTCTCCACTGTTTTTGTATGGAACCAAAGGATAAAGGGCTATTTTAATATTTCAATATGCAAAGACAATATTGTCAGAAATGTCAAGTTCATTTTAAAGCTGTTTCAAATATTTGTGCGGTGTGTAATTTGTTCATTTATTTGTACTTCCCCATAGGGATTTCTTGGGATTAAAATTTGAGCACATAGAAAAAAAGTGCATACAAAATGATAAATGTATTATTTTTTTTATAGTATAATTGCACAAAAAGTTCGTTTTAACATTGTGTTAACTGAGAAATATATTTGTAAATATATCCACACTGTATTGTTCTAAGTTCATTTTTTAAAAATCCTTTTGTTTTCGCTCGCTCTGATTTCACATATTTGTAAATATTTTTAAGACCTGAATGTTTTATTGTATATCAAGGTTGTTAACTCTCAGGTGAAAATTTCAACCCTTAATACTTACTGTTTACACATTTTTCTATAATGTAATTTTTTTCTGTATATGTTATACCAAAAGGTTTTTCTATGCACATATTAGACATCTTTTAACACTTATTAACCTTGAAGTTGAATCTCTATGATTTTACTTGCCAGTACTCTTTTTTTGTTTCCACATATAAATATTTTGTGTTTATATTAACAATGATAACTCTGCAAGGTACCATTTCAAGTTAAACTTGTTTAAATAACTGCCTACTTTTCATGTTTGCTTGATTGTTGAATTCTCATTGTAGTTGAGTTAGCTAATCACGTAAATTGTCAAATATTGTTTTATCTTTATTGTTATTTTACATGAGCTGTTTTTAATTGTTTGGAGAAGAATACAGGGAATCTGCAATGGAATAATTCAAAATTCTATTTGAGTGCTCATTAAATTCAAGATATTATTATTGTTACTGATATTTTATCAGGCACGCACATCATAGACTTTGATTAGCATACTCATCACACCAGTAACTCTGTGACCTTTTCTTGGTATACAATAATGTCAATTGTGGAAGTATAAAAAACTAGGGGTGTGCCGGATCCGTTTTTTCCAACCGGATCCAGATCTGAATTTTCTTATGCGAAATCCGCCGGATCCGGAATAATCCGGATTCCGGTTTCTTCCGGATTTTGGTACTATTGGTAGATACTTCGGTAAGTCAAGGTAGACTACTACTTTTTGTGTATGGGAATTCGCAATCGGCGCCAAAAAATCCGAGTTTTTAATTTTCCGATGTGTGTGTCTATTTATTATTAAATTAGTACTTTCGATATATATTTGAGTTCCGTTCCATTTGGATAAGTGTCTTACGAGAGACGCCATGTTTCTACGCGTTCGCAGCAGGTTATGCAGCTCGCTCAACCTAATTTCGCCATGGGGTTGGCCACGCCCCCCTTTTAATGGCGGAAGTTGACGATACTTAGGAAATATTAATTTATTATCACTATTTACATCAAAATAATTGATAACTTGTGTTTCAGAATGCATTTAAAGACATTTAAACTGGAATGTTTTAATTTGAGCTTTAACAACCCGGTAGAATCCATATTATAAATGATCAGAATTTACCGTGTGCAACACGTTGTCATTGGCAACCATTCACAGCCACTTGCATAACTGTATCGTAGTACTACCTCAGAGTTTCATTCATAAGAGTTTGCCGTGTGCAAAAACTATTAAACCATTGGTCAGGGAAAGCTTTAATTAATTATTCATGTGCCAAAGTTGAAAGTTTAAACTAAGTCTAAACAGTATTTTAGTGATAAGGCAGGGAATGCGTTGCCTTATATAAACTATATAGTCATTGCGCATGACGGGATTGGTGGAATGAGATCACAGAATGTGGAGATGCAGTCCATGTTAAAAAATGACAAACCAAGTCGTACTTTAAAAATTCATAACTTTAAAACTACAACAGCTAAAAATATGATTTTGGTGTTATAATTCTTTAAAAAATTACATCTTTTCAACTATGCCATTGGTTTATTTTTACAAAAAGTTTAAATTTTCTTATCAAAGTCCCTACACTATTGGCCACTATTAGCGGTGCTGACTCTAGCCTCTGGTATGTACGGAATATTAAACATTAAACAAGCTCAACGCTCGAAACAATCGATTAATGTATCGTGATCGTGTGGAATTCGGGAAAGAGAATTACTTTTATTTCAGGTTATGATCCGGTGAGTCACAAAATCTGGCAAATTCCGAAATCCGGTATATTCCGGATTCCGGTTGTTCCGGATACATGTAAATCCGGCGGAACCGGATTCCGGCACACCCCTAAATAAAACCCTTTATTTTACAACAGGAAATTCATATATTAATCTGGCTCAAATTTTCATATGATTTACAGTATCAAGGTCAGCAGCATTGTCCTAGCTCACACTTATTCAGATTCAGATAATGGAATGAATTAAAAAATTAGTATATTACAAAAAAACAGACAGTGCCTCTTGTTATTATATCGCTATTTTCAATTATCCTGCCTCTGAGGTCAAACCATTTTTTTCCCATTGAATATTGTCAGTATTGAGCTTTATCAAGTGTGTGTAGGAATAACTGTTTTAATATAATTCAGAGGGCCTTTGCTATTCCAAAAGTATTATACCTTTTTAAAAGTTACCTTTTGACAATCATCTTACATCTGTATTAGGTATAGTCTTGTATAATCTAAACCTTGATCTTCACAAATTTATTTCAGGAGACCTTAACTTTTACTTTAAGCATATATTTTGATATTATTTTTTTGAAAATTATTACTCTTCAGAATCTCACAGGAATGGGAGGAGGAATTGTTAAAAAAATAATATTTTTTCTATGACTAAATGAATTTAGAGTGAATGGATAAATTTTATTTTTAAAGTTTTACATGAATTTTTTTTAATACTTCAGGTACTAATTGTACTGTATTGTATGTTTATGTAAACTTTTTTTTTTTTTTTTTATATATTTGAAATATTCCTTTTGTATCTTTGTAGGGCATGCTATTCACTGTGAATTCCTACTTTTATTAAATCATTTTGTCCTGTTCACTTATACATTATTTGCTGTAATTTTTTTTTATTTTTCTGGTTCTTATTGTTCTGTTTTGTATGTTTTTGTAAACTTTTTTTTTTTTTTTTATATATTTGAAATATTCCTTTTGTATCTTTGTAGGGCATGCTATTCACTGTGAATTCCTACTTTTATTAAATCATTTTGTCCTGTTCACTTATACATTATTTGCTGTACATTGACTTAGTTTTTGCTGTTGATTGACTAATTTTTTTTTAAATTTTTGCTGTTCATCAACTCATGTTTTGTAAAAATAATTATTTGCACTTTATTGGCATGTATATTAATATTATTTTATGCACATATAAATTTTAAAAAATTATGCAGTACATTTTGTTAACAACATCGCACACCATGTGTAAACTTTCTAATATTTAACAAAACGAAATGTAATAAAATCAACAGGGTTTTTTGTTCAGTCTAAGATTTTTATAACTAATTTTTATTTGAGTAACATCATCTTGATTCTTGTCTTAAAAATAAAGCTATTACTATTATTGCTATGACTGAAAACAGGCCTCTGTAAACTGTCATGAGGCGGAAGGACATACACGTTTAGTTTAATAAATAAAAATTTATTTTATGTTAGTTCTATCCAAGAATTAACATTGGTCTATGTACCATGGTCTTTAACAAAATGTCACAGTAATATCATGAAAAGTTTATTAATGAAAACTCTCTACAATATACTTATCGCCTAAAAATATTAGGCTGTCTAGCGTTTAAATAGATACACTGTAGTTCAGTGGTTTCCGAACTTTTTTATTGTGTTTTTCTATTTTTTCTTGGTGCCCCTGTCCAAGCTTTAAATAAAAAATGATAATATTAATAATTTCATAAACTATAATATATATGACTTATATATGAAAATACAAGTACTAAAAGTTTTTTTTTTTTTACTCACTGTTTGGAAACCCCTGTGTTAGTGCAACAGTAGTAGGCAATGCTATTTCAACTCTATCTAGAGAGCATATTTTAACTAAAATCAGTTGTTTTTAAATACTTTTGGGGTTAATCTTAGATTGACTGTCCTCTTAAGCTTAATTAATGACATAAGATCAGACTGTCAATTTACAAAGTTGATTCCAAACTTAATCACATAATGGCATTTTAACAGCATTTTCCTTCAACCCAAGGACTTCTTTCTTTCTTTTTAATTAACCAAGTTCTTATTACTACTAAATATACTATACCGAATAAATTTCTATGCCATTTTGTTAAAATGGTTATAAGATGAACATTATCTAACAAGCCATTCCATTATAAATCTAGTCCAGCTAATTTATCCAGTGTACATGATTGCTAGTCGGAATATTCTCCTCTCATTTTACATATTAATGGCTTGTTTGTTTATTTTTTTAAAAATCCCTTTAAATATCTTATAGTTCGTCTGAGGGGAATTTTAATTCAAAATGTAACTATGTTGTTTGTTTTTATCATGACTGTTGTAATTGTGGGTATCATTCCGTTGTTTTAATATACTGGCAAAGGTTTCCACTTTTTATTATTTGGTTCCATGAGATCTCCCTACAGAGAAAAAAATACATATATGTTTAATTGTTCCAAGTTTGTGTTAAAACCTAGGATCATACATAAGGAATTGTTGAATTTGAAATAGAACTTCTATTTGTATTCCAATTGTAAAGATGAAATTGTGTATTGTAAATGTAACCATTTATTATGACATAATTTGGTAAAAATGT